GCGGATGCGCCCCCAGATTTTCCCACTCTCTCTACCCGGGATGCCGCCTCCGTCCTGCACGGCTCCGGGCTGGGGGTACGGCCGATCCTGGTTTCGGCAGACAGCAGGGCTCCGCGCCCCTCCCCGCAGGGAGTGCCGGGGTCATGACTCAGCACTTCGGCATTCATCGCCGACTGGCCGGGAAATAAACTGGGAAGCGCTAGGCGCCGCCCCTAGAGTAGCTGCCGGGAGAGGGGACAGGGCCGAAATTCATGTAGGAGGTAAGAAACGGGGGACTGAAGTGGAGAGGGAGCGAAGGAACGCTTCAGCTCCTGAATCCGAAGCCAAAACCTCGCCCCTTCCTTCCGGTGTTGGGTGCCTGCCTCTGGGCTGCTCGCGGGGCCGGAGCCAAATACTCGCCTTAGTTGTGGGGCTGGGCCTTAGCATTCCTTCGTACCCCTGGGTTTCTGTTTTCGGTTTGTTTGAGGGCTTTTTGGTTCGGTGATTTGGGGTTTTTTGTTTGTTTTTGGTGGGATTTTTTTTTACTATGTTCTGAAATCTTTTAGCCTGGGAGCACTCCCATCAGTCAAACTTTAAGCGAAAACATAGTAACTTCATAATCCTTATTTTATGTGATTTTCTTTCGTGGGTATACCGCAAAACATTAATTGGAAACGCTGATTATTCTTCTGTGTGTTGATGTCCTGTCTGCTAATGTCCTGCTAACTCTACCTGTAAATACTAGAGTGAGTCACGGCAAGCCTAGGGAGCAGGTAGGTGATGGGCTCTCTGTGTGTTAGTACTTAGCATCAGGCTGTTTTACTGGAATAGGGATTGAGTGATTGTTTGCTTTAGGACTCTGTTGTGGTTTTTTTACCGTGATGTTTTACAAGTGCATGAAGTGGTAGAGTGTTCTAAAAACACTGTAGCAGTAAGCTGAGCAGTGGATGTGCAGGTCGTGAGCCAGCAGTGTTTCTTTTTGAGGTAGTGCTGGCAGAGAGGGCTGGCCTAGAGTGCTCTCAGTACAGAGCTGGGGAAGAGAAGTTAAGGACAGCTAGTAAATGCAGCACATGTACAGAGGGTATTCCAATGGTTAGAATGAAAATTTCTTTCCAAGAATAGCAGCAACACAGACTTGAAAATTCTTTTAAAGGAATTAGTGGTAGATCTTGCTTCAGTTTAATTTGACAATGAAATTACTATCTACAGCTGATGTGCATACAACTTGCCCCTGTTTTCTTTAAACATTTTTCTTTTAACTCAATTGAAGTCATTTACTCTAAATTCTCAATTGACATTGTCGTGGTTTAAGCCCAGCCAGTAACTCAGAACCACTCAGCTGCTTGATCACTCTCCCCCTGCTCCCGGAGGGATGGGGAGGAGAATCAGAAGAATGTAACTCCCACAGGTTGAAATAGGAGCAGCCCAGTAACTAAGGTATAATACAAACCACTACTGCTACCACCAATAATAGTAATGATAAGGGAAATAACAAGGGGAGAAAATAAAATTGCTCACCAACCGCCGACCGATACCCAGCCCGACTCCAGCAGCGATCTGGCCTTCCGGGTGACTCCCCCCAGTTTATATACTGGGCATGATGTGCTGTGGTATGGAATAGCCCTTTGGCTAGTTTGGGTCAGGTGTCCTATCTCTGCTTCCTCCTGGCTTCCTGTACCCCTCCTCTGTGGCAGAGCAGGAGACTGAGAAAATCCTTGATCGGAGTAAGCATCACTTAGCAACAACTAAAAACATCGATGTGTTACCATTGTTGTTCTGAGGCTAAAGTTGAAAACACAGCACCGCACCAGCTCCTAAGATGGAGAAAAATGGCTTCTACAGGTGAACCCAGGACAGTCGTAATTCAGTTTGAACCTGGATTATATAGGCTTGTTTAGGCGGGAATCAGTACAACTTAAGTTATTCTGCTAAATGTAGTTCATTAAAGCATCTAGATAGGGTTTTAAAGTAGCTTTTAGCTAAACAAATTTAAAGTCTGATTTACTGTGAAGTCATATAATTTCTGTGTATAGCTAACAGGCTGAGATCTGAACCCTTTTGATAGCAGCTTAAATGAAGAGGGTGTAACAACACATGGAATTTCATATGAGTAGAGAACAAATGTGAAGAAGAATTATTGAGCTATGGGAGAGGAAGTACAGGAAAAAGCAGTCTGACATTTTTTCAGAGGCTTTGGATTCAGAGGTTCTGTCCCTGCTCCACTTCCCTGACTTTTTCTTGTGCTGCCTCAGTGTAGAAGGCTTTGCCACTTCCTGCTGCTCTAAACAAAAGATTAAAGACCTGCCTATTTGGGCAGAAGGCACATAAGCACCTTTTTACCTATATAATATTCCACAGGCAGAAAAGATCTCTGCCTAGACTATGTGGAAGAAGTTGGTGTAGTGGAAGGGTATTTAGTCTTTATTATAAACTTCAGTAAGATTGAGTTGCTTGTGCAGAGCCTAAACTGAGTGCAGAACACTGTTAGGTTTTAGTTCATGTACTTATAAGGGATTCTTTATGGTTTTCTTATGCCAAATGTGAAATACTGTCTGGTAGCAGGATATGACTGGGAGTAGTTGGATGTTCCACAGCTTCATGGTGTGGAACCTTCTTGGGTGTTAGCCTTGTAATGGAGGAACACCTCCCTGCTACAGCCAAAGAAGAATGAGCCCTTGGACTGCAGATCAAGGAATAAGTGTGAATCACTGTGCTCTCTCCACTGAGAGCTGTAATAAGTAACTGCAGGGACTCTTTCCACCTACGATGGAGAGAAGCAAAGATCTGAACATGGGAGATGTTTGAAAGAAACAATAGAACTTACGGAGCTCTTGAGGTCATGTAGCCTAGCTTTCTGCTTGGAGCAGGGCTGACTTCAAATTTAGACTGGGTTGTTCAGAGCTTCTGCCAAATCTGGTCTTTGTTGTCTTGTGTTTGGAGATGGAAATAGGTTTCAAATTTATTTAAAAGGAAACTCCCCTTCTGCAGAGGATTTTGTCCAAACAAGTGTTGGATGAAATCTTATTACAAGGGTTATTATATTGAAGATTAAAGTATTATTAGTGTTTGCTTTCTGCTTTCAGGCAGGGAGACTGTGGTTCCAGCAACATGGATGATGATGTCAGCTTGAAGTTCCGTCAGCAGCTTCTGCTCATTGACGAAAATCTGGTGTCTGAAGATGTAGCAGCTTTAAAATTTCTCTGTACTGACTTTCTCCCCTTCAGAAAACTAGAAAGGGTGAAGTCAGCGGTGGACATCTTTCAGCTTCTTATGGCTGAAGAATATCTGAACGAGAAAGATACTTTCCTACTAGCTGAACTCTTATACATAATTAAATGTCATTCCTTGCTCAAGGAACTTGGTTATACCAAGGGGAAAGTGGAAGAATGTCTGCATGAGAAGGGAAAAGTGCCTCCATACAGGTAAGCTTGCAGCGGGATTCTGCTCTCTCCATTACTTCCTTCTATGCCACACTGTTTCCTTTTCCATTTTTAAATTCTCAGATAGATTTTGTTTCTATACCATCTTCTGTTCTGCTTTTGTCTTACTGGATCTCTGTTACAGGCAGATGCTGTATGAATTGTCAGAGAACGTTACCAATGAGATGTTGAAGGATATTGTATTCCTCCTGAAAAACTCTCTTCCAAAGCGACAGATAATTCTGGTATGTGAAGAGAGACAAATGTGTATATGGTGAGAAGGGAAGAAGCAGGGGGGAAATAGGAGGAAAAGGATGAAGAGAAAAGTATTTGGCAGAATAGGGCATAATCTGCAGCTAGGCTGGTCAGTATTTACAGGGTTTGCAAGGAGGATGCTGTTGACAGATAAGTATGGAGTTTGGTGGTTTGTGCCAAGGTCAGTCACTGACAGTCCACAGTCCACAGATCATAAAAGGGTGGCAAATCAAATCTTCACCCTGCTTGAGCCATCTGCAAAGGAGATTCATGTCCCTATGTCATTGGTACCATTTCACAGCAATGAAGCCTTCTTAAAGCCAAGAGTCATTAATATGATTTGGATGAATCTGTTTGAACAAGACCATGCCAAATAATAACACAACGAGTAGCTTTCCATGGAGCAATATTTCTACCTCCCACAGTGATGTAAAACTGACTCTTTGGACCTTGTTGGGAGGAAGCAAAGCAGATACTAGTGCAGGTTTAAGTTCTAAGGAACAATAACCGTATTCTGTATTTTGTTCTCTCTTTTTGGCTGTCAGTCTGCTCTGGAATTGCTGATTTTATTGGAAAAACAGGGCCTTTTAACTGAAAACAATGTACAGATACTGGAGGAAATCTTTATGAATGTTTCACCTAATCTTCTGGAAATAGTAAACTGCTACAAAAGGGCAAAAGGTGAGAAATTCAGAGTCGTGGAGTACGTTTGCTAAAATTCAGGAAGCACTAGAAGGGTTTGGGTGTCTGAACCTCAAGGTCCTATGTTTGGATTGCTGGAATAGGAGCTAGAGAGGGATCAAGCATCTTCACGGATAAATTTGGCGTGACAGTCCCTAGCTTGTTTTACTTCTTACCTGAATTCCAGTAGGGACATGCTGGAATATCTGACGTCCCATAGAGCAGTCCAGCACATACAGAACAGGCTAGAAAACTAAAAATCTATTTGCAGTGCTGTTGCACTTCTCCATTTTCCCATGAATAGTGTTGAAATGATGATGACTGTCCTGTAAAAGGCACTTTGTGATTTACAAATGTACACTGTGACAAGGCAGTTGCCTACTAATAAGCTAGTGAAGCAAACTGTGTCTGCATGTGTGTCTGAAGTGGTAGGCTTTGTGTGTGTGATACATGTTATCAGGGGTTACGCTGCAGTTCGTAATATTCCTTTATTTAACATCCTATGGAGTGACTATAAGCATATTGGGGAAAATGCTCTATTTATTTAAGCACTAGGAAGCAAGTTCTGGGAAATGCAAAGCTACTTGCACCCCAGTAGGTGCAACAGCACACAGTGTTTCATGAGTTCCATTCCCCCATGCTTTCTGGCTTCTCTCATTTTGTCTCTTTCTGCTCTTAGCATGTCTGTGTCAAGAGGAAAACACTCTGCCCATTGAGGAATCTTCACTGGCTCACACTGGAGAAGTCAAAGTATTCACTTTCTCAGAGTTACACTGCAGTACATACTGCTAGCTTGGGTTTTAGTGGTTTAGGGGGTTGGAGTTTTTCTTGCCTTTATTTTGAAACCATACTGGCTGTGTTTTTGCTGAATCTTCTTACTTGGTTTAGGAACAGAACAAGCATATTTTTTTTTAGCATGTTAGAAATACAGTTGCATGTAGTATCAAAGAGTAGAAGTCAAAAACACTATTGGTCATGTGCAGCTGAGCGGGGAGGAATGATGTTAGGAAGAGAGATGAGTGAGAGAAAAAGCTACACAGGGACCTTCTATAGAATGGGTTAGTCACTTGGTGCTGTGTTGTGGTTTAACCCCAGCTGGCAACTAAGTACCACGCAGCCTCTTGCTCCCTCCTCTCACCCTCACACTGTGGAATGGGGAGGAGAATCTGGAAAAGGTAAAATTCATAGGTTGATGAAAAACAATTAATTGAAATAAATGAAACTAAAATAACAATAATAACAGGAAAAAGAGAGAGGAATAAAACCGGAGAAAAACTACTGATGCACAATACAATTGCTCACCAGTTGCTGGCTGATGCCCAGCCCATTCCCGAGCCAGAACTCCCCAGCCAGCTCCCCCCAGTTTATATAATGAACTTCATGTTCTAGGGTATGGACTACCCCTTTGGCTGGTTCAGGTCATCTGTCCCAGCTGTGCTCCCTCCCAGCTTCTTGTGTCCCTTCTCACTGGCAGAACATGGGAAACTGAGAAGTCCTTGACTTAGGGTCAGCATTACTACTCCCAGTTTTTCAGTGTACCAGTCCTTAACCAGTTAAACCCCTCCTGCAGCATGAGGAATCACATTTCTAAGCATACTTCCCAGCAGTGAAGTTATAGTAGACAAGAGCTGAGGAAAATGAGCTATTTCGTATCAGAAGGGTTTGCATTACTGCTGCTTTGAGCTGTATTTGCTCTACATGTCCCCAGGGTTTGGGGAAGCCTTCATACATGGTGCTTGGCACAGTAAGAAAATAAATGTAGTTTTATTAAGAAAGCATAGATTTGAAAGAATTTTAAAAGAATAAGCGACTGTTCCATAATCCTGATGATTGTGTTTGATTTTTCTTTCAAATGATGAGAGCTTATACTTTTTTTTTTCCCGTGCTATATAATAAACCATTGACACTGTTAGATGTTTCTAGTTATAATAATTTATAGAATTCTATGAACTCTATATTTTTATACAATTCCCTATCCAAGAGAATTGTTATAGGACCATGTTGGGACCTTTATTTTGTTTATAGTGACTGCGTATACCTATAGTGAGAGGATCATTTGGAAGTGAAAGAAAATTATTTGCTTTTTACCTTTATCCTTAAGAAAAAAGATAGTTGTTTCCAGCTTTGCGAGATTTGCTGTAATTGGGAAGTCTTTTGTAAGTTCATTATTAAATGCTTTGCTGTTCTTAGGAATTCAGTATTTTCCCTACTCTCTACTTAAAAAGCTTTGTATTAAGTCTGTTTTGCTAAAATTGCTATGACAACTTGTTACATATAATAGTGATTTTTAACATGATATTCCCCCTACTCCAAATATAGAAGACCTCGATCAAATCAGTCGGTTTTAATATTAATGGTAAGAACTTCTGAAACTATATTTAGTTTTTGTTTTCTTTGTTTAATGTTGCATCCCTTTACTTTCTCTGGGAGATTTCTAGCATTTGGATAAATGTAACACACTTACCCTGCTGTCTTCTTGGAAGGCTCTTTTGCTTCCTGCACATATAGATTTGAGGGATTTCAGCTCTTATATAAAAGAGGCAAGAGAAAATTGGCAAATCCTGTTGTATTTTGTCAGTCATTTACTAGAAACTAATGCATTTTCTGGGAAGTGAAATAATGGCTGGTCTGATTAGACACAAAAAGATTATTTATTTCCTGAAAATAAAAAACAGGTTTTCTGTTTAAATATTCCTGGGAGGACAAGAGCATGGGACACTCTGACTGTTTATAAAACTGTGATGTTAATTTTTTGGGTGCAGGATTTTACCTCTTAACTTTTTTTGCTGTGTGGATTGTTATGTGTGAGCTTGGGAGTGTTGCATGTTAAAGATGGATGGTTTTGATGATGGCATTAAATAGTGTATGATTTGTACAAAAGGAGAGAAGTGTTTTAGGGCATTCAGAAGGAGAAGTAAATAAAGCAGCAATAAATAAAATTACATTTTGGATCAGGTCTCTGAAAAGACTCTGTACAAATAACAGTGACTAGTTTGCATCCATCTTTGTGACTCCACATCAAATAGACCAGCTGCAAAGTGTAGCAGTACAACATCTGTCAACTCTTACCCTCTTTCAAGTTCTGTCAGTGCAGCCTTGCTCTGAAAGTCAGGCTGAGAGTTTGTATCAGTGATTCAGGAACAAAACAAAACAAAGCAAATCTGTGCTGGGAGCTTCAGTAGTAATACTGCAGATCCTTCTTACAAGACAGTTATTTCTGAGCTGATTCCCAAATGAAAAATTAATTTGAATGTCTCGGGGTCTATCCTTATACCATGGATATTTTTGTTCCACAGTGCCAGTACAAATAGAAACCTTGCCTTTGTCACAAAATTAATATATATAATAAAAATAACTGGAGACGTGTCCTTTGAACATGATGATGCTATCTTACATGGTGGAATTATTCCTTTCAATGAAATGGTATTTCAAATACAAAAAATGCTGGTTGTTTGTTTTTTGGTTTTTTGTTGTGATTTTTTTTTTTGTATTTTGTATTGGATTTCTCTTCATAAATATCTGTGTTGGTTTTGGTTTTTGGTTTTTGTTGTTTTTTTTTTTTTTTTCCTAGATAACAAAGCAGCTTGTCTTACACGAGGCTTCTCTGAAATGAACCTGGAGCCACCTGGAGAACTCAGCAATGAAGAAAATGAATCAAAGGTTTGAGACAATCTCTTAAATCCTCTTTTTGAATACTAGGTGTGTGAGGTCTGGATGTGTAATGACACTTATCATGCAAGGACGTGAGATGTCTGTGTGTCTCATGAAATTTTTTCAATTGTCTGATCAACTGGAATGTTTCAGAGAATATTTTAACCTTGGAGACCAGAAACTTACTAATATTGGAAGGTGTGCTGGAGGCAAAACAGGCATAATAGCTTTGACATTATCCACACATCAGTGCACCTGCTTATCTTCCTGCTACAGACAAAACATTTGGCATTTTCTTAAGTTGTGCATTTTGGAGATGGCAGCAGAATGTGCAAGACACAGGCAAACATAGCTTCACAGTTCTCTTTCTAAATGTGGCTTAGAAAAAGCTTCAGAGTATCTTGAAATTAAAAGTCACAATGGACAGCATGCAAAGACCTTGTGAGAAGAATAAAAGAAGGCAAGAGTTTTTCGTAAGCTACTGCAGGCATGTAACAATCTTCCTCAGTAAAACAGAGGTCTTGGTACAGCAGAAAATACCTCTTCTGTGAGATCCCTTCTTAGAAGCCTTGTGTACACTCTTTAACCTTGTACAGCAGTGTAACCACTGAATTCTCCCTCTGGCTTTTTTCTCTGGCATGGATATTGAGGAACCAAGTTGCTGTGTTTGTTTATAGCTATTTAATTTTTTGAAGTTCTGTGCTGTAACATATCTTTTTATCAACTGATTTTTCAGACTGCTGTAGCAAAGACACTTCTTACTGCTCTTGAAGGAGCTTGGAGTGCTGCCTTTATTTTGTTCTACTAAAATACACCAAAGCAGGTGTGTGTTGCTCTTTAGTGAGCAGAAAGGAGCTGAAGTGGTGAAAGTTTTTGATTTCAGTCCAGGGTTGAACTTGGATAGCACCTGAAGTTTTGGTGACTTTTCAGTTTTTAAAATGTTCTTTCTTAAGAGTGGGAGGTAACTTTGAAGTCTTAGAAAAACTGGTAGTGTGGCAGGTTTATGCACTTCCGATATCTCTGTTCTGCTTGTATCCCTTTCCAGTTGATCAGTATGAACCACCAGCTCCACGTATTCATCGCTGCTTTTGAGAAAACAACTCGGATGTCTAACATTGCATAGGTTCATTGTGAACCCTCTGCTATCTGAAGTTGAAATATTGTCATGACCTTGGAAACAGTTGGAGACTTCTGTCCGCATCACCAGTTCAGATTGTGGAGTTTGGCTGCTGAATCCTCCCTTTTCCATACAGATGACCAACCCAGCTGCCAAACCCTTCCTCTGCAGTTTGATAGTATGGTGACAGTGTGTGCTCAAGGCTTCACCCGTGTCTTTTCACACAAAGAAGCATCATTGAGTCGCAGCTTTTCAAAAGTAATGCAGAGTCTTAGGTGCCTCTAATTTTTGGATGCCAATTTTGAGACATATTAAGGAAATAGGAGTAAGTTGAATAAATTAATTGAGGCTGTAAGCTTTTTTTTTCCTTTCCTTTCTACAGAAGATGGCAAGCTACAAAATGGATGGACCACACAGAGGATTTTGTCTTGTTATTAATAATGTTATATTCAGTAAGTCTCTTAGCGAGAGGAAAGGTTCTTCCAAAGATGCTGGTAAGTTACTGAAGTGAGATTTTTGGATGATTGGTCTCTGTTTCCCCATCTGAGTTGATTGTCTAATATTGCTCTTTATTTTTATTGTTTATATTTTAATTAATATTCTTAAAGAGTAGAATGTTTGCTATAAGTTAAATTGTCATTTTTGTATTCTAGGGGAGAAAGGGTTAAAGGAAAAGTAACCACAATTTCTGATGCAGTTGGATCATTCTTGAATAATTTTGAGGCTCTCTTTACTTAGTTTTAGTTCTTTATTATAGCTATAGATAAAGGCTAACGTACGCCATCATTCTACATAATATAATGCAAAATTCTATAATCACACAACTCTGTGAATACTTCTTGGTTTATTCTGTTCCTTTTATTTGTCTGTTGTGTATGAAACTGTAATATTAGTTTCACTAAACTGCAATTGGAAAATAAGATGTGAGGAAGGTTTTGAAAGATCTAAACTGAAACTCAAATGGGGGATTCCTCATGTTTTCAGGTGTCATTTATGAGCTCGCTTAGTATGTCATTATACATTGTAAAATGTCCTTATATTTTCTGAAACTTTTCTAGAAAAACCCAGGAACTCTTGAGTTGATGTCATCTTTTTTTATTCCAGTTAACCTTTAGTTGATACTAGTAAAAGAATGAATCTGCAGAAGGTGTCTTTCCTGGTTCAGATCAGTTTGCATAGTGACTTCATAAAATTGTTTACTAGTGCCTGAGTTTTTCCTTTTATCTTTTTTTTTTTTTTTTTTTTTTTTTTAATTACAGAGGAACTGGAGCGAGTATTCACATGGCTTGGTCTAGATGTGAGGACTTACACAGATCTGACAACTCAGGAGATTAAAGAACTCCTGCGAACTTGGCAGCATTTGGAAGATCACAAAGACAGGGACTGCTTTATATGTTGTATTCTGTCTCATGGAGAGTCAGGAGCAGTCTATGGGAGAGATGAGGAACTTATATCAATCCGCACAATCATGTCCCACTTCACTGCAAAACAGTGTCCACAGCTGGCAGAAAAACCTAAACTCTTCTTTATCCAAGCATGCCAAGGTAAAGAGGTACAGTGTGCTGTCTCTGTTCAAGCTGATGCACAAATTCCAGACTCGTTTTCCATGCAACAGAGCATTTCTCCATCTGAAAGTATTCCTGAAGAGGCCGATTTCCTCCTGGGCATGGCCACAATTGATGGATATGTGTCTTTCCGGCATGTTCATCAGGGTGCTTGGTACATTCAGGCCCTGTGCAGCAAGCTACAGCTGTTGGTACCAAGGTAAATACTTTGCTTAGCTATTCCATGAAGAAATGGGAGGAACTCCCCCTACCTTTTCCCCCCCCCCCAATTCCAAAGGCAAATTCCCATGGGAACGCTAACCCATGTTCTGAGGTGGACAAAATTAGTTAAACTGATGGTTTGGTTGCTTGCCACTGATAAAGTTACATTTGTGGTAGACTGACCCTGGCTGGATACCAGGTGTCTACCAAAGCCATTCTATCAGTTGGACAGTTGAGAGAAAGTATAGTTAAAAGTTTATGAGTTGAGATAAAGACAGGGAGAAATCATTCACCAATTACCACCACAGGCAAAATGGGCTCAACTTAGGGTGGGATTAGATCTGATGTATTACCAATCAGATCGGAGTAGGATACTGAGAAATGAGACCAGATCTTAATCCCTCACCTCTCCCTTCTCCCTGGGCTTACCTTCAGTCATGAATTCTCTACCCCCTTTCCTGCAGTGGTGCAGGGGACAGAGAATGGGGGTTGTAGTCAGTTCATCATTTTTCTGCTGCTCTTTCCCCCTCAAGGACAGGACTCATTACACTTTTCCTCTGCTCCAGCGTGGGATCCCTCCCACAGGAGACAGTCCTCCACAGACTTCTCCAGTCTGAGTCCTTCCCAGAGGCTGCAGTTCTTCAGGAACTGTTCCAGCATGGGTCCTTTCCACAGGGTGCAGTCCTTCACAAACAGACTGCTCCAGTGTGGGACCCCCACAGCATCACAAGTCCTGCCAGCAAATCTGCTCCAGCCTGGGCTCCTCTGACCATGGGTCCACAGATCCTGCCAGGAGCCTGCACGAGTGCAGGCTTTCCATGGGATCACAGTCTCCACTGGGCACCCACCTGCTCTGGCATAGGGTCCTCCATGGGTTGCAGGTGGATATCTGCTCCCCCATTAACCTCCATGGGCTGCAGAGGGACAGCCTGCCTCACCACAGTCTTCACCAGGGGCTATAGAGAAATCTTGGCTCTGGTGCCTGGAGAACCTCCTCCGCTCCTTCTACACTGATCTTGAAGTATGCAGAGCTCTCACATGCCCTTGCTGCTCTCTCCAGCTGCAATTGCTGCTGCACAGTAGCTCTTTCCCCTTCTTAAATATGTTATCATGGAGATGCTACCACCATCAGTAGCAGGGAGCCAGCTGGCATTGGTTCTTTTGGGCATGGGAAGCTTCTAGCAGCTTCTCACAGAAGCCACCCATGTAGCTTCTCCTCCCTTCCCACTGCCACATAATCCCAGTAAAACATTAACACTGCTAGTGCCATAGAGATAATCTGGGGCATGTGAAGTTTATTTTACAATCCTCTAAAGATTTTACAGTCCTCTAAACCTCCTATGTTTAAGGCAGAAACATCTGTTTCTTGAATGAATTTAGGTAAAAATACTTCATTCCGTTATTTTTCTTTAATGGTTGAATCAAGCAAGACGGTAAGAAAACATCTTTTGTTTTTAATATGACTCAAATGAGAACAAAAGAGGAGAAATTTAGAGAAAATGATATTTTTTTTGTGTGTGTTAAATATTTATACTGTATCTTCTAAGTGTTCTGGGAGGTGTATAATAGAGTGCCATCTGCTCATTAATAAGTATCTTTTATTTTTACTTTTGCTCTCCATGTGTCTATAGGGGTGAAGATATTTTGTCGATTCTTACAGAAGTTAATGAAGATGTGGGCAGACGTGTTGACCGCTTAGGCACAAAGAAGCAGATGCCCCAACCAGCGTATACCTTAAGAAGAAAACTTATATTCCCAGTACCTAGAGACCCTCCTCCTTCACAGCTATATAGAGGCTTTTAAAATACATCCTTTTATCAGCACATTTCAATTAAATGCAATTCATCACACTACCTGTTTTAAGGCAGTTATCCAGAATACTGAGGAACTGTTAGCTTCAAGGCAAAGCGTCATAATTTTTTTACCATACTGTGAAACTGGAGGAGACACAATTAAAACAGTCCATGTGCTAGCTAATTACATGATCTATATAGTCAGTGTTATCAGGGTTGGGAGAAGCATGCTTCAGTCATGTTAAATGGTTTTGTACCTGCAAAGACTACAGATAAAAAAGTGTTTTTCTGACAGCAGAAGGATTGCAGGTAGCCTTCAATATGTAAACCAAGATTGTTAACAGTCTGGTTTAGGCTCATTGTGATTGATTTTGCAGGCTAGCAATTTTAAATCCCACCTTTAAATCCACTGGGTATGTTCACAGAGAAAGACAAAGGTGGGAACGAAGAGGAGAAAATGTAAGTAGTAAGTGGAAAAGGATTTTCATCTTAATTTAAATTACATTTAACTTAATGGAGAACTAGTTGACTATTGAAATCAGTAATTTGTTTCATGATGCACACTGGTACTGTCTAATGGCTAATATAAACCTTGTGTACCAGGATGTATTTCCAAAACTGATTAAAGCCAAGATGCTGCGTAGTATTCCCTCTGTGAAACCTTGTGAACCGTCACTTGGCCATCACTTCTGTGAGGAATAGTTAGGGTAGAAGATTTGCACATTATGAAATATGACATTCAGCAGTGTATCTGTGTAGGTTTATTAGATTGATTAACTTTGTTAAGCATTAAATTTTCTGATTATTGTTTCTTGTTTTTTGATTAAGCTTCCAATAGAGCATTTTATGAGTTAACTGAAATAATGTCACATTGTTTTGTTATGAGCATTTATTATGTATGCCTGTGCCCTTCCTGTTTGTTACTGCATTAAATTCATACTACTTTTTGAGAGCTTGAAGAGGTAAAAATTACGTACTGGGGTAAGCCTTATCTTTGTTTCTGACTGGCCCCTGTACTTCTGGGGTCTGCATTAGTCGGTGGGTTTTAAATACCTCAGAGTTTAAGCAGAAGTGAGACTTAGTTTATTTCAGCAAAACACTGTTTGTTGTAGATGATTAATAGCTATAAGTTAGGGTGAAAATTTGAAAGAGGGCTGTCTAGTGCTGTTGGATGTGATTTTTAGCTTGCACTATTCAGGATTTTTAGGAGGGGAGTTTTGCATCATACAGAGCATTGAAACACAGCCAGCTTGACAAAACATAATGGTAATTTTTTTATCATGATAGTGTGTGACCCGTCACATTTTGAGTCTTCTGAGCTGCCACACTTGAAGTCACATTTGTGCCACAGCTAGAAAATGGTTTACCTTTTAGTAGAATATGTGACATACTGTAATAGAATCACAAAGTTTTTGGCTCACAAGTACTGTTCAGACTTGTTGCACTTGTTGCACTCTATGTTTGGGTGACAGCTGAATTTTTATCACTACAGAGTAAACACTGACAACAATTTTGACCTTGTTTTGTGGGTTCTTGTTTTCATTTTTAAATTGGTGGACAGAGAACATCATCATGTTGTCTGCCTTCCTCTGTAGAGACTTCTGCCTGGGTAATGTCAAGTTAAATCATAAGTAAATCAAGACAGACAGAAGAGTCTAAGCTGACTTGATGAGAAACTCAACATGAGCAGGCAGTGTGCACTTGCAGCCCAGAAAGCCAACCGTATCCTGGGCTGTATCAAAAGAAGCATGACCAGCAGGTCAAAGGAGGTGATCCTGCCCCTCTACTCTGCTCTTGTGAGACCTCACTTGGAGTATTGTGTGCAGTTCTGGTGTCCTCAACATAAAAGGGACATGGAGCTGTTGGAGCAAGTCCAGAGGAGGGCCACAAGGATGATCAGGGGGCTGGAGCACCTCCCATATGAAGCCAGGCTGAGAAAGTTGGGGCTGTTCAGCCTGGAAAAGAGAAGGCTGCGTGGAGACCTTATAGCAGCCCTCCAGTATCTGAAGGGGGCCTACAAGGATGCTGGGAAGGGACTCTTCATTAGGGACTCTAGTAGTAGGACAAGGGGTAATGGGTTTAAACTTAAACAGGGGAACTTTAGGTTAGATACAAGGAAGAAGTTCTTCACAGTGAGGGTGGTGAGGCACTGGAATAGGTTGCCCAAGGAAGTTGTGAATGCTCCAACCCTGGAGGAGTTTAAGGCCAGGCTGGACAGAGCCTTGGGCAACATAGTTTAGTGTGTGGTGTCCCTGCTCATGGCAGGGGGTTTGGAACTAGATGATCTTAAGGTCCTTTCCAACCCTAACTATTCTGTGATTCTGTGACTTCTGCCTTCAGTTCCCTGGGGAGAGGGATCCATGCTTGTGAAATATGAAAGATTGGTAAAGTCTCCCTTACTCATAATGTTTGTTCAAACACAGTTTCCGCTACCGTAATTTACACTTAATATTCAGTGTCAATATTTTGGTTGTGTGTGCTGAGGGTTGTGTTTATATGGCTGCACACTGTAATGCTTGGGTGCATGCGGTGATACTCTGTCAGCACGAGCCCAAAGGTGGGGTACGCTTATCACTGTAACCGCAGCTGCCATTCAGCAATGTTGTTGGATGTTTCTGCGCGATCTCCTGTGGTGTATTTTAAAATAACAGTTTGAAAGTCTTTGGGAAGTTGGGTGGGTTTTATACAACTTAGATATTAATTGTTCCTTGCTGTCCACAGTACACACCTTCAGTGGAACTGTGGTAATGTGGAACTGTGCCAGGAAGAAATCAGCCTCAAACAAACAAACGGAAGTGGTTGGTTTTCTTTTATACAGAAGCATATGCACTTGTGCATGCTCTCCACCTACAGAATTAAAGAAGGGTTGCGACTTGTGCAAAACTTATTTAGACAGACAGAAGTGTAACTAGTGTAAAAGTCTGTTTGTAAAGTTTGTATCTTGGGTGGATCATGATCTTAAAGTGGGATTTGTTACACTCACAAGTCTCTGGTATCCAGTCCCTCCTGACTCAGTTTTTGTGCAGGAGTTGTCAATCCTGCCTTGTTCAGTAGAGGCCACAGTCACTACACTAGTTGAGTAGTCAAGTAACCTTAGCATTTTGCTTCCTCAAGGCCAACCTTTCTCTGAGAGATGAATTTTTGACAGGCTACTTCACAAGGAATAGTTTGGGTCACCAAGACACTTCTAGAGGAAGTCGGAGGGACATAACTTGGATGCAGGGGAGCTGAGGAAAATTGGAGAGACTAAGTTAACAAAAGGATGGGAACATTTTGGGGAAGGATGAGAGGAAGAAGTGAAACAGAAAAGAAAATGAGGAAGAGCAGTGCCAGAAGGACTGGTCCTTGAAACTGGCGCATGATGGGAGAAACTTGAAATCTAGAAAGAGCCAGCTTGGGCGTGGTTTTTGTCTGCAAATACTTTTCATAGTGCTAATCGCAGTTCACTTCCTCTTTCAAACTGAAGCTGGAGTCGATTCAGTTAAGACACAGGAACTGGTGCAGGGAAAGAGCATGGGGTGACATGGAAACAGAACCATTTTGGACCTGAAGATCAGATAGTGTCCCTCTGCGCTGCTCCCAGCCTTTGGATAAAAGGACAACTCATGGAGTGAAATAAGTCACACGTTTTCTGAACTGCTAGTAGCGCACGCTTTTCGGAAGGAATTTGCACACCTCATCGTACTGAAGGGTATGATGCAATTCTGAGTTTATAAAGATGGATAGGTTGAAATCAATGAATGATTTGTTTTTCATTTCAAAATTTTAACAGATTTTGTCTCTCCTAGCTGTCTCTTTTCATAATGCTGACTTCACAAGCCTCAGTGTCTGGTAGCTGTACTGATTGCTAATTGTGTATTTTCTGCTGCAAGGAAAATACTGATGGCCAGCAGGTCATGCTGGGAACCTTACCATTGGAGGCAGAGTTCTATACTTCAGAGGGCGAAAATGCCAGAAGTTAATTATTATCACTTAAATTCACTTTAAATGGGGAAGTATATTATGTAAATAATTTCAAAGGAATGTTTAGCCTTCTAGTTCCCTGTATTCACTGCTTCTGAATTTGGTACTAATAGTTGATTTTTTTCATAATTTAGGAAATAATCTTTCATGAAAGTGCATGTTAAAAATAGGGTGAGTTGGAGAGGGACTTCAGAGAAAGGAGGTAAGTAATGGACTAACTTGTGACAGAGCAGGACAGTGGGAATAAGATGCTTTTAAATTGAAAGATATAATTGATTCACCCTTTGCTCACTGTCTTCTAATTAGAGTTCAGGTATGGGAGCAAATGTTACTGAGCTATGCTGTATGCTAGAAAGTCCAGGCTATGTTGCTTAGTGTGTCCCTTAAAACAAAAGCAAAAGCTGGTTACTTTTATGGCTTGTTTATCGTTTTTTCTCATGAGCAATGTAAAAACTTCTTGAAACTAGAACCAGGATAGGTGATTCTTGAAACTAGAACCAGGAAACTGCTGCATTAAGACGACATCTTATTACTTTGTTACAGCATACTTTTTGTAAGTCATGTGACAACATAGACAATAGTACGAACTTCAGTCCTTTTCCTGGAATTCTATAGAGACTATGTCGCTCTCACTTTTTTCAAAGTCTTCCGCTAGTTCTCCAGCCTGTCCTCCCATGCAAGTGATGTGAAATTATTATTAGTAGTATTAGTATTAAACAGTTTGCTTTTTGTGTCTTTAATTTAGTAGAGTGGGAGAAAAAGACAAGCAATTATACATTGTTTTAGTGTGTTCTTATATTTACAGACAGGCTTAAATAGAGCGTGTAGGTGTCACATCTGTTCTAATTGCAGTAATTCTGTGGGTTTGAAACTCGGAGCCTTTGAGAAATAAAAATGAAAACTCCCTTACCAGAAAGACTTACTTTTATAGACACATGCCTTGTATCTTAAAGAAAAGACATGATTTATGTGAGAAAGGAGATAATTTCATAACTAGGTACCAAGAAAGTATTCTTCTTTCCTGTGTGGGTATAGAAATAATACAGTCAGATCTGAGATCATTGAATTGTGAGGTTAAGCACGTATGATTCATTCAGGTACTAGTGGTTTTGTGGTGATACAGGCCGAATGGTATGGATTCTAGTCTGGTTAAAAGTTCAGTTTGAATGGATTGAAAGAAAACAGTATTTGGGGGCAGCGCATGAATCACATATGTTTCATCACAACACATGTTTTGCTATTTTATCAGGTTTTTGATAGGCAAAGGTTTAAGATTCAGTTGTATGTTCACTCTTGCTAACAGAATGCTGACCAAGGGCAGCATGCCACAAAAACTGCTTTGCTGTAGAGGGGTCCTTGGAGGAGAGGGTAGTACAATTGTGGGTTTGTTTGATGTTTTAACAGTAATACTGATTCAGTTGTTCAGCTGGGCTAACTTGGAGTTACTAGCCCTGGTACTGAAGCATTTGCAGTAACAGTAACTTTAAAATGCCTAACATTCCAGTAGTGTCGGAGTAGAAGGTTTTGATTTGCTGTTCTCAACTTTTCTGTGTCCCAGTGAGTTCAGTGGGACAAAAGACCATTCCTGAATACATTTCCACAGAGCTTCTCTTCACAGATTCCTATGTGTCTTGGTTCTAAGGCAGAGGGAATAAAGTGACAAATGGTTCTCTTACTAGAGAGGCAGTAGAGGCAGCCTTTTAAGTGTCAGAGTGAGATAGGTGAAAGGCTTGCACTTGGTATTTTCTAACTTTTTCTTGTGCTTAAGAGTTGCATCCATAAACCAAGTTTAATATTTCTGAAGTTGATGGAGGAAGTGGTGGAGAAGGGAGATTGTATTTGATACCCAGTGAAACAGAACTAGTTTGACAAGAATTCTCCTGTCTTTTAAAAAGGGTTGACACCATCTGTATTTTATTTGAATATTAGAAATTGAGAGCTGGCAACTGAGTTTTATGTGATGCAGATAATCCAAAGCAGGAAGAGGTGCTTTAGCTATGCTGACCAAGGCCAGAAATAGTGTATAAGGGAAGGAAAAGCCAGATAGCTTAGAAGACTTACTCATGTGGACTCTTAACTTTTATGATGTATAACCTTTACCTCTGTTATGGTGTAAAACCTGGCAGTCTCATTTACCACGTAGTCTGTACTTGAGACTGGCAAGTGGCTTTTGCTCCCAAACAGGATTAAACCTAAAAAACCCCAATCAAAATTGAAACAGCGGCTAAGCATCAAACCTATGATAGCAAGACAGCCCCCCTCTGCTGAAGTACTTTTGACTGCATGTTATTATTTTGGCCTATTCTAAATGATGTGATACCTTTTATAATCATGTGTTGCACTACTCCTACTGACAAATCAACTTCTGTTTGTGTTCAGATCTACATCTTGATGTGAAATGGGTACAAACTTCTACAAACTCCTTTTTGACATCTCTGAGGCTTTGGTCACAGATGAACTCGCAGCTCTGAAGTTCCTCAGCCTGGAGCACATCCCCATGAGGAAGCTGGAAGCCATCCAAGAGCCCAAGGCCTTCTTCAGAGAGCTGCAGGAGAAAGGCATGATCGAAGCAGGGAACCTGGCCTTCCTGAAGGAGCTGCTCTACCGGATCAATCGGATTGACCTCCTGGAAAGCCAACTGAACTCTAGCCAACAGGAGATGGAGTGGGAGCTCCAGATCCCAGGCAGGGCAAAGGTGTCAGACTACAGGTAAGCACAGGAGTACTAAACCTTTGCACACAAAAAAGTACAACTGTTCTGTTGTGTACTGTCTTGTTTTCTGTCTGCGCTGTTGTCTTATGAATATCCCAGCATAGTTGTATTTATTGCAACATCACTATGTGCCACTGTGAGTTTTACATTTTGCAGTTCAAATGTGTAACTGTGGTGTTTACTTCTCATAACTTTCATAATTAGTCTTTTTCTATTCTTTATTGCCAGACAACTGCTATATGGAATTGCAGAGGACTTGACTCCAGAAGATGTGAAGTGCGTGAAGTTCCTGCTCCAAAAACGAATACCCAACAGCAAGCTCCAGGATAATGCTGTATGCAAAGTGTTCTTGCTAAAGTGATCTTGCCAAGTTTCTTGAAAGGCTACTTCAAGAGTTTGCTAGGTCTTGTAAGAAAGGAAAGAGAAAGCAGTCTGCTCTCTCTAAAATCTGTTGTTGAAACAACTGTCATGTTAGCTGATAGGTGCTGTGTGAAAGAATGGACCCTTTTCTCCTCACTGTATTTTTTCTCTGCCTTTTTTTGCTTTCCATTTCCTGTTTTCCCACCATCACCTGTGTCCTTGATCTTTTCTTCTTGCAAAATCCGTCATTCTCTTCCTTTCGTCTTTGCTTGGCGTTTATAAGACGTACATATGCTGTATCTAGGAAGAATGATGTTTGCTGGAGGAAAAACTATGTTTTGGAGACAGAAAATCAAGTTTTAATGTGAGTTCAACTGTAATTTTTTGTGTGTCATTGGGTACATTTGCTCTTCTATTGTCATTTGAGGTAACAGCATTTTGTTCAGTCCCCCATAAAAGTATTAAGAGATTTGATGAGTTTATTTAATACTTGTATTGTAAACAATGATCAGTGTTGTGCAACCTTAGTGATCTGTTTCTTTGGTTGCATTGCATCCCAACCCTTGTTTTAATGAGGTTTGAAGGGGAAGAAAACCCCAGTCTTTAGCTGGTCAGTCTCTGGGAATGAGGCTATTATCTTCTGCTTTGTCCAGAAGTGCCTGATACTGCAGTTAATGAAAGTGACTGTATGAGTTTGGGTTATGTGTTTTTGTTTTACCAGTCAATGTTGAAGGTCTTACTGGAAATGGAAAGAAAAGGGTTGATTAAAGAAGATGACATGGCAATGCTGAAAGATATATTGAAGGGATTTAGAGCTGACATAAAGAAAAAAATTGTTACCTATGAAGAACGAAAAAAAGGTAAATTATTTAATCTGTTGTTTAAGAGTAGAGCTACTGCGTGTGTGTGTGTGTGTGTGCGTGATTTTTGGGGCTCCATCCTTGGCAGCTTAGGAGTCCAGAGGTAAAAGAGAGACCTTAAAGTATCCTAGGATAGGCAGAGTGGCTCTTGGTACCTGTGGTTTCTGAAGCTCCCTGCTACTTGTAACCATTAGCTAATGTGTAACCATTAACTTTCTGTACTAGATGTGATATTTCAAGGACTTACATATATCTGGGCTGTTGCAGCTGAGGTGGTGACTTCTCACACCACAAGTGGGCCGTCCCTTCTTGGGAAACAGGATGTGTCAACCAGCAACAGCCGAGACCTAGTAAATTTTTTCTCAGAACCATCTTTTGGATGACTCAGTGTTTCCTTGGACACATCAATACAGCCCGTGCAATTCCCTGCAGAGATACCAGCCAGTTTCCCCAGCATGTTTTTGCACTGCTAACTTGTGCTTGTGTCTCTAAAAGAGCAGACGAAAATTGCCAAGCCCTGTGTCAGGGGAATGGATTTTTAGTTATACTATTATTATTTTGTCCCCCTTGCTAAGTAGAAAAAGAACATGTCTTACAGATCTTTATGCCTGACAATTAAATTCCATTTAAATACATATGCTTAACTTGTAAAATTGGGTACTGTGATTTGTTTCCTTGGGCAAAACCATGGGTTTGATTCCTTCACTTACTTCAGACACTTGTATTCAAAGAAATGTTTTTTTGCTTTGAGGAGATCTTCTGCTATACTGGTATTCTGCATCTTTGATGTGTCTACCCAAACAGTAGAGCTCTCTGGAGAAGAGATAATGGCATCAGAAGTAAATGAACTAGCTGTAGTGTATCACTGTACAAAAATGTGTCTCTTCTTTTACTTACATATCCCATAATGGAGATGCTAGTTAATGGCTTGCCTGGAGTGCTTACTCACATTCAGCCCTTTATTCTCTAGAATAAGAATATTCCTACCAGTAAAAGAGCAGAGAAGAACTAGAACGCAGCTCCACAGAGCTTCAATAACCAGCAGTCTGTGAAACTGGAACCCTGTTTGGCCCAGCTCTACAAAATGATGGTGTCTCAGTTATGTGGGAACCACTCTCCAGCTCACTCCTTGTACTATTTTTTTTGAGTGCTGAAATATGCAGAGTAGAAGATTTATGTTATTAGACCTAAAATGTTCTTCTCCCTTTTAGAAAAACTCCACTATCCAATGTCTGTATCTGTGCATCCAGCAAGAAAAAGCACAGAGGAGACACCACACCTGGTGAGAAATACCTCAAGGTTACCTTTAAAGTAAATTCTGGGAGAGGGAAACATAAATTCTTAAGACTAAGCAGGTGGAAGAGCTGAAAGGGAGGGATTTTGGCTTTACATGTAGGTCTTGGAACAATTCCTATTTTCAAAGCAAGACCAAGCCTTGTTGCTTTGTGAGGACCTGGCTGTCAGCAATCTTTTAGGCAAGAAATGAAGGAGTACCTGTTGTGTGAAGAAAACTGATCTTAAGAATAATGGAGACTGGGACGTTGAAGTACTTCTGGACAGATGGGAAGGGAACAACAGAATCTGCTACCTCACTAGAAACCCACAGGGACTCTCAGAGGGAATGGTAGGGTGCAGGAACTTTTTCTTTGCACATGCAAACTTATGTTTCTGGATACTAGCTTTCTCCCATGCCAAAATCGTATCCTAACCACAGAGTGAAAGGAGAGGGGGGGATTCAGAAAGACAAAGCAGATTCCTCTCCCCTGTAGCTAGCTTTTATTTTTAGGCTTTTCTTTTCTTGTATCTTGGCCTTCATGAGTTATTTTGCGCTTGGCCGTGAAAAGCCAACAATCTGCGTATAGCATATTTCTCTTTTTGATGCTTGGCACTGCTTTCTTACCTTCTTGCTTTGTTTCTACAGCCTGTGGAATCATATAAGATGAAAAATAACCCTCACGGTTACTGTGTGATTCTTAACAACTACAAGTTTAAAAATGAGCATGAAGTCAGAAAAGGAACAATTGAAGATGGAAGTAAGTACTTTTTTAATCCGATTACTGGTTTATTTGGTTTTCTCCTCTGATAATTCTCTGAAAGTATTATCTTAATAATCATGTCCACTGAGTTCCCTTGCCTCCAGGGTAACTGGAGTGACAGTCACTGTAGAAATCAGAAATGTGCCACTTCCAACAGTTCAGCTGATGGCTTAAAAGAAGGAACTGTTTTCTGTTTTAGATAAAAAGCATCGTCCAAATAGTGAAGGAGGGATTACTATTCTGCCTTTTCACTTTTTGGCTGGTTTTAATTCTTAGATATTATGGAGTTAAGTTTTTAAGTAAGTCCTTAAATTCTCTTTAATGCTCAAATGCTACTGCTTTATAATTTTCTTTAAAGCCTGTCTTTTTGCAGGAGTCACTTTTAAGATGAACAAAAGTTTATCTTAAAGTAAAATCTGTTCCATGAAAGCATACATCACTGGTATTTTAACTCCATCCAGCCTGTCTACAAGCTGCTTGCTTCCCAGCTACTTTCTCACTACCCACACAATCAAGTCTACATTTGATGACAAGTGTGCATAGCATTTGTTAGAGGGTTACTCTCCCTTCCTTCTTGCTGCACTGATCATTCTCACAGGATGAGGGATCTACTTCACTTAAGATTAGCAGAATTTGTCATTCTAAAGAGTTATCTCTTCTTTAACTTGCTAAGTGTTGTTCTTAAGCATCTGAGATTATTAGGCAAGGCACAGTTAAAGCTTGCTTTAACATAGTAAACTTTACTAGTTTGTGCCAATTAATCAGATTGTCTGAAATCTGTTGTTGTTTTAGATAGTGTGATGCTTAACCCAGTTGTGTTAATGAAAAAACAGGCATTTGGATTTTTCTAATCAGATTTAGCAGGCTAAGTGTCAGTTAGGTGAATTTATTGCTGGGGTCTGAACACTTCTGCTAGTATTTGAGCTATCACACAAACACTGATGTTTCAGCATCTTCCTTGTCATTGTTTAATAAGTGCCTTTCGGCTTTTTTTCCCTAGAGGCTGTGAAGAGGGTCTTTGAGTGGCTTCAGTTTGAGACAGTTGAGCACATGGATCTAGAAGCAAAGCAAATATATGAGAAAGTTAAAACATACAGTGAAAAAGATCATAGTAACATGGACTGTTTCGCTTGCTTCATTTTTTCCCATGGTGAAAAAGACAAAATAAAAGGCATTGATGATCAGTTTGTAAATATTAAAGATTTAGTCTCCTGTTTCAGTGGATCTAATTGCCCTTCTCTTGCTGGCAAACCCAAGCTGTTTTTCATCCAGGCTTGCCAAGGCTCTGTAGATCATCCAGCTGTCACAATAAAAGAAGACCTTTCTGGCCATCCTGAGATGGATGTTACCCCTATGATATCCATTCCTGATGAGGCCGATATTCTGGTTGGCATGGCTACAGTGGAACACTACAAGTGCTATCGCTGTACAGACACTGGAAGTGTTTATATACAGTGCCTCTGTGAAAAGATGAAGTTGCTTTGCCCACTGTAAGTACTGTTTTTAATCCATGTACATTTGGGGTGCTGCAGGCATACATACTTAAGCGTGCTGTGCTGAAACAGCAGTGGTTTATATTTGTGCTATATAATGCTTTTTTACCTGCAGTAATTGTTGTGGAACTAGGCATTGCTATTTTTCTGGAGATGAACCAAAGTATAAGTGACTTCCCCTAGTTCGCCTGTAAAAGAACCTGGGGTGTAATGCTGGAACACTACATATAGACAAGTGTGTGTATGTGTGTGTATGTTTTTTAGTATTTTTTGACTGATAAATGATTTCCAGTGAAACCTGATGAGAGGCAAATTTGTTGAGTGATTACACAGACAGAAAAATCAGTGTTCTTTAGTCATAACTTTCATTGTTGCCTCCCTCCCATCCCCATCATAAACTCCATTCAGAAAATAGAATTTCTCTTCAGACATCACTTTCTCCAGAAGAGTGCGTGGAGAATGCGTAGGTTTGGTTCTGTCTTACTTAGTGTGCTGT